GGTGGAGGAGTGGGGGCGGAAGGGAGGGGGGGAGGGAGGGAAGGGAAGGGAAGGGGGGGAAAATGGGGGTACGGGAGAAGGGGGCATACCTGCTTCATTGCCGTCTCATAGGTGGCGTCGCCTCCCACCTCTCTCGTCAGTTGCCGCACGACCGCATGCTGAATGTGCTTCTTCACAATCCTCTGGTCGACATTCTTCCAGTTCGAGCCCCGGGAGGGCCGCTTGACAGTGGTCTTGTGGGCGTGCTCGTAGGAGTTGCTGGAGTACTCGTGGGGGAGCCCACGTGCCTTGATCGTCTCGGAGAGGTGGCAGATGTCATGGATCTTGACAATCCCCCACCCCGACTTCTGGTTTTCGAATGCCGTGCCTAGGGAGTCGACCATGCTATGCGGTGCAGACGGGCAGATAATGGGTCATGGGGGATTGGGGGTGGGGGAAGTTGGGGGTGGGTGGGCGGGTTTGGAGGAGGTGTGATACTCATAAAGGTGCACAACAAAGGCACGGCAGGGGGGGCTTCCGCGGATGTAAGGGGGGACCAAGCTTCGAGGGAGTGGGGAGTGGGTGCAGGTAAGCAAGGTGAACGTACTCCTTGCCGTCGCTCGTCAGCTTCACTAGCGACTCGTCGGTGTGGTACTCCGCACGGATGTGCTCCTTGTACCATGTCACCATGCGCACGACCGCCTCCCGCTGTGGCTCCCGCTTGTCGAGGATGAGGATGAGGGGGAGCACTTGCATCATTGCACGGTGCTCAGACGCCGCGAACCCGGCGGTCGTGGAAAAGTACATCCACCCGCCGGGCAGTCGCAGAAGGAAGGACGGCGTCACTGCCTTGATAGCGGAGTATCGGCTGGGGGGGGGGGTGGGGAGCACAAGGAAAGTTTGGGGGGAGGGCGAAAGACAAGGGAGGCAGGGGACATGTGGAAGGACGTCACGGACTACAAGGACCAGTATGAGTTGGAGAAAATAAAAGGCAACACACAGCGGGTGAAGCAGCAGCTCACTTGAGCAGGATGCCGCGCTCCGATGGAGTGAGCTTAGCGACCAGGCACTTCATGGCATGCAGCCACCACCCTTGCTCTATCATGTGCATGATGCATGGAGGGAGTGCTAGGTAGATGTTCCCCCACAGCGTCGTGGAGAACTCCCACTCCCACAACGCGCACTGGGGATTACCCATGAGGCGGGCACACGTGGCGGGTCGGGATTAGGGTTAGTTTGGGGTGGGTGGAGGGGTGGGGACGCGTTGGCATAGCCCGTGGGGAAAGGGAGAGGGGGGGGGGGAGAAGGGCGGGACATGAGAGGACGGTCCTGGGTTAAGGGGGGGTGCATGAACAAACGGGACAGCAGAGTCCGATGGACACGGCTTTGGGTCTGGGAAAAGATACGTGGCGGCTGAGAGCAAGGACAGGGGGGGGGAAAGGTGGGAGAGCGAGCACGCGAGAAGGGCCGTGTGTGCGGTAGATGAGAGAGGAGGGACACGGAGTAGGGCAGAGGCAACGAGGGTGGGGATGTGTCAAAGGGAGTCGTGGCCACAGCGGGGGGGCGGACATCGGCGGTTAACGGGGGGAGAGGGAAAGGGGGGGCGGGGGTGGGGCCTTGTGGTGCATCGCAAATCGAAGAAACACGTTAGCCAGCAAGTTGTAACTTCTCTGAAATATTCCAGTAAACACGAGAGGTACAACATGCAGACGCTATGGCTTCGTTCGCACAGGACATCGTGCAGAGCAACCATTGGATTCTCGCCAAACAGAGGATCTTTCACTGGATCCCCCCTGCACCATCACCGGGCAAACAGGGAGGCGGACCCGAGAAGGCCAATCACGGAGGTACTCTACCGGCGGCTGCCCCAGTGCCGGCCATGGCACACGCAAGTCCCTCTCGGTGAACGGTGGACGGAACAACATGTAGCAGTTGGGCCAGGGGAAATCCAGGGGATGCGCTGGGTGGGATAGATAGTACCACCGGCGACACACGGCCTGCTGACGCACGAATGGTTTGAGGTCGGGCTTGATGTTTGGCCAATCCCGGCCGTTCTCCCAAAGACCAGTCCGAAGAATTTCGAAGATTTTAAGCCACACATCGTCAGGTAGGTAGGGAAGCTCGCGGGATGGTCCACGCCTGCCATCGTCTGCCATGGTTCAGCGCACAACTATTGGCAAAAGCACGGATGCGACGTACCGCTAGTGCCTTGCGCTGGAGAGTGAGTTGTCGAGAAGGGACGGCAAGGGTACGGGGACTTGCATGGGCAGCGCGGGCTCACTAATCGGCGAGTACGCGAGTGGCCGTGATGGGGGGCGTTTGCCGTTACAGTGTGCGACTGGCAAATCAACATGCGGTGCACCTCGGCGGTACGCTGTACCGCGCGCGCAAGGGAATCGACACCGATAATGGAACAATGTTCAAATGGAATGCCGTAGAACGAGCAACGTTGATCCAGATGCAATGATTAAAAGACACTAACCCGTCCAGCGGGCTAAGGGCAATACGCGGCCGCGAATTGACAAGAGACAGTGACCCGTCGATCGGGCTGGGGGAAATATGCGGCGTGGATGCAGGACAAGATGTTGACGTTAGATGTGACAATCTTAGAACGCTTCGCTAAGTGTTCAAAAAACAATTCCGCAAACGCTTCGCGAAATGTATGAAAAACCTTTCCGCAAACACTTTGCGAACGTTTCAAATGCGTTACGAGTTCCATAACGTTCCGATCACCAACACCCCCCATCTCCCGCGAAAGAGGCAGAACCAGAACCCTCCCACTTACTGGCACGGCGTGCGTCGAGTACTTCGACTTGAGGGCAGCCAGGGCGCTTGGCGTCTCCACCCGCTCTGAGCGTTTGAGAAGCCTGTACACCGCCTTCTGGCCCTTGACGGTACGATTCAGAGTTGTCGAGAAGATTTGCTTCAGGTTGTTCTGCTCCACTAGACACATGGAGCATGGACGGAACGACTGGCACTGCATGGTGCACGAGACCTTGGAGGACTCGGGGTGGTCAGTGACGTAGGCGTACAGCACCGGAAACCCCATCGCGTGGTTTCCCGCGTGATCCTCTAACAGCAGCCCGCCACTGAGGGAAGTTCCAGTAGGATGGGGGGTGGGGGGAAGGTGAGGAAGAGGGAGGGGGGGTGGTGGGCTGAGAGAGTGAGGATCGATGGCGCCTGGATGCGGATGCGTCGTGATACCGGCACAGGAGAGGGTAAGGGTGGGGTGTAGTGGCAACCGCGGGAAGAACCGCAACGCAGTGATGGCTCACCCACTAAGCTTGGACTTTTCGATTATGGGGCTTGCCAGGACAGCAAGGCCGGCCTGGAATGCCTTGCACTTCTCCTCAGGCGACAAGTCGGCGGGGATGGTTGGGAAGTTACCGAGCATCTCGGTGCCGTCCTCGCCCCACCGAGCCCACTCGGGCGTGTTGGAGAGAGCCAGCAGCGCGGGATGGGCAGTTTTCCTGCCGTTGTTGGAGAGGTTCGTCGCATCGCTGAAGAGAATGATGCCGAGGGGGAACCCACGGTCCCCTATGTGCTCCTACGTTATTCAACACACCATTAAACACGGTTTAGATAATGCGGTCCCAGAGGGTGGAGAGCAGAGTACAGATGTCGGCCGAAAGATGCAGCACGCGGAAGACGGAAACCATAGGGGTCACTGAACATGCATGTATCGTGCGAGTACCTGTGCTTTGAGCATGAAGTCCGTGTTCATGGGCGTGCTGTATCGACGCACCCCGTCCACCTTCCACTCTTCCGCGCGATGCAGGAAGCCCGAGACGGCCGACTGCCGCTTGTACAAGGCTTCCAACACCTACAATGGTGGGAAAAACAGAGTTACACACCAATAAGTGTCCATGGCATGCGCTATTTACACAGTGGAACCAACATGTGCTAGATTGGTGTTGAAGCTACAAGGTTTCTCGCAGGCTTGTGTGTGCTACCTTTAGTACCCTACGATGTCGGAAGACGAGGAACCCAACCTCATGGTCCACAGGGATCTCGGTCTCCAGCCACTCATTCTCCTCGCCGACCTCGAACTCCTCCTCGTACTTCTCAAGATCCCGATGGCTGTTCCAGCTGTCGATCTGCCGCGGGTCGAGGTCGGGGTGTCGGAAGATCTGGATCAAAGCTGTGACGGCTGCATTGCTTAGGCCGAAGTTACGGGCTAAGATACAGATCTCGGCCTTAAGGTCGAAGAGCTCCCTCTCCTCTACATCCGCGACAGCGCCAGGGTCGGTTAGCGGTGGCTCGGAGGGTTCTGTCGGTGGTACGGGTACTGCAGGCCGCCCGCGAGGCAGAGCATCCTCTGACCCTGGAAGGCGCGGAAGGGGAAGCGGGGCAGATCCACAATCGTGGAGCGTGTATACTCCATTGGACTCGCGTCGTACGCTAACGCCGTACTGCTGCCGATGTGCCGTAGCAAGCTTCTGCAACCTCTTGCACCGCTTGCTTCTAATCTGGTGTGTTCTTAGTGTTTGGTAGCATACGAAGCATAACTTACAGAAGGAGCATCTCATGGGCGTCATGCTCCACAAGTATATTTGACCGTCACCTGACTTAGCGAACCGATCGCGAGAGGCCACCGATGTTATACGCACTGCGTGATTAGGGTTTCGGAACTAGGTGAGTGGTGACAGCGTGGTTCAGATCAGCGCGTTTGTTGTTGGTCGAAATCCATCCCAACCGATATCTTCTTTGTAAACATCTTTCTGAGCCGCGAGGTACGTCACCCAACCGCACTGAAAGTACCCCTTGGTTCATGTCGGAACGGACAGACAATGAGGACCGCCAACGGACCGCATTGCTACAGTGTAGGTGGGAAATGCCAGTGTCGCAGGGGCTACCGCGGACGTGCTGAAAACTGACGAGGGGGGAGATCCGTTGTTTTAGGTTTGGGTGCGGGCGAGCAGGGCTGAGGGTGTATGTTGTACACGTTACCTCATATGTAAACCCGTAGATAAGGGCTTTTATACAGCAACATACCAACAAGCAGTCTTCCATTTACGGCATTACATGGGTTAAGCGTCCTCTAGACAGATCACGTAGGCGCAGTGACATCTGAGAGGCAGGCGAGCTTCTGCTCGTACTCATTGTAGTACATTGACCATTTCCGCAGGTCTCGCCGATACTGCCTCCGCCACGCTTTTGGATCTCCCTCCAGCTCGATTTGTCCGAGATCTGCAAATCTGGTCTCCACTAGATGGTGCATAAAACGCATTGTGTAGACCCCGCAGTCGTCTATCCCGTCCTGTTTGGGCACCTGGCAGCATAAAGTGCGTTGGCATGTGGCAAGGGTTGGGAATAGGTTGGCCCGCAACCCTATGGAACCAGCACTGGGATCCCTTATGCACCCATGGCATAACGGCGCCCTTCTCCAAGCGCGCACCTGTATCTGGGTGAAGGGTATGGATGCAGCCCATTCCCTTGCGTCCACCCTATTGAATGTGGGAAAACGGCGGACGACTTGGCGTCGCAGGTACCTGCGATGGTTCGACAGTGGAAGAACATTACAACCGAGGAGCATGCTGTACGTGCAATCTGGTGAACGAGGCACCTACATAACTCACTCGCGCACAGGTGCATCCGCGCCCCCATGCTGGTCTTTTGAATCCGCGTGCCAGATATGCACGTCCAGAGGCGTCGGGGATTGCGGGGTGTGTCGCAATTGGAGCACCAGCAAGCTCCAGTGTGATCTGCGAGGCGTCATTATGGGCGGGGTTTGCCGTATCACCAATGAACGAGACATATGTGCGCGTACGAACTGCAGCCCTTTGACATGTGGAACATTTGCAGAACATTCGAGGGAACACTTTTCAAACGCTTTGCTGGCAGAATTGTGACATGGTGAACGTGCGCAACATCAGCACTTGATACCTGGACACCTTGCGACCTGGGTAGGTGCAAATGACCGGTGTGACCTACCATGCTGATACTGTCAGATGACTCACTCCCAATGAACGGGGATGAAGACAAAAGAGTACTCGAGAGGGTCCGCCTTTAGACCATCCCGCCTACGAAGCCCACCCGCATTGAGTCGTGCAACCTCCCAGAAAAAGGTTGACGTGTATAGCCATTTTGGGTCGCTCTCCGTGGATTCGTAGCTCAGCATCCTGCGGGGGAAAACGCTATCATGATTAATGAATAATGTCTTATTAGCCACGCGACGCACTGCACCGGCACGCCAACTCACAGTCCCACCCAGTCGATGAGGGCTCCTGCGATCCAGTTTCCCCCCCGAAGCGTGTTCGCGTCTCTCTCTTCGACAAGGAGCCACCCGTCACTGTTCAGCCGGGGCATACTGAACGATTTGAAGGGAGTAGAGGAAGGTATGTTAGGCCCCGACATGAACCCTGGTTTGGCGCCGCGGCGGTGGCGAAATACAGAGTCCAGGACTTGTCAAAACGCGATCGCTACACCCGTCTGAGCGAGACGGGGCAACAGACTACTGTATGTTTAGGTCATCCACTCGTGCGGCACTCTGAGTTTGCTGTTGCATTGTTCTACGTTTTGTGTATACGGGCGTGGAGCAAATGGGCCCACATATCTGTGACTATGCAGGCGGAGACGGGCGGAAACTGAAAATGTTTTGCTGGAGGGTACCTTCGCCGATTAGCGCTGGGGCCCGTTTGGACGAGACGTAACCACCACTGATTTTGCAGTATCGGGCAGTATTCAATGGTCGTGCATATGCCCGAGCCTGCGCTGAGCTGTCCAAACGTACATCACATGCGAGATTGTACACGTCTTTCCATACGCCAACTTCGGGACGACGGTTTAAGAATATGATACACGGCAACAATGAACATCATATAGTAGTTCAGTGTTACCGATAAATACTCACATGGCATTCAACCCCAAAAAGAGAGTACACCCCACGGGGAGCAGTGTTGAGATTATATAAGTTATACATAACTGTTAGGCTTGCTAGTTACCGAACCTTTCTGAAGAGGGTACAATCCCCTCCTTGTACACCTCTCCCTTCCTAATCGAACCCCTTCTCTCTCGATATTCTCTTCCAGCTCCAACATCTACTTTCCTCCCGCCATTCCATGGCGGCTTCCTAGCCTCCTAGTATCCTATCTGAAGTAGCTAGTGTCCTAACTTCTTCTGATAAGGAGTACACACTCACCTTCATTGACGCCGCCACCCGCTACGTCTGGGTACTCAGCGTTCACGAGAATCCCTCCGTGATCGAGCCAGTGACCTCATGGCAGGCTCTCACTGGTCCACACCGCGCTGAATGGCGCAAGGCTGTGAACGCCAACATCCTAACATGCAAATTGCACAGTTGCCTCAACTCATAGGCCAAGGGAAACGTCTACTGCCGCACGGCTCGATACATCGTACGTGGCTACAACCAATGCCAGGGCATCCACTTCGACCTTACGTTTACGCCCTTCAGCCTTCACGCCTGCGTGTGTGAACTTAGGACTGTTTGTATATAAATGTATGGTTGATAGCTGTTGCTGAACAGTACCGTTCAGGGTACAAGACTCCTCCTTATATCCCTCTCTCTTCTTTTGCAGTCCGATTTTCTCTCCACATTCTTGCCTACCTTCTGCATATAAACCTCACACCATGGTTTTCGGTTCTCCTGTTTCTACCTAGCCCAACTCAAGACATGGTTCAGAGCAAGACGCCCTTCCTGGGCCTGCTCCCAACCTCGCTCCGCTGCGTACTCGTTCCCTGTGGCCGCCGTCGCGGCCATCCTTCTGCCTGCCGGTCGTTCCCCTGGTGCGGAGTCTGGACACGCCGCCAGTAGGGCGGGGGCCTCGCCGTTACGCCGTCATAAGCTCCTGCCCCTCGACGTCGCCGCTGTCGTCGCCGCACGCCTGTTGCCGCCGCACGCCCGTCGTCGCCGTCGCTGTCCCACTGTCGGGACTACCGCCGTCGCCATCTCCAGAGCCTTGGGGTTGGCCCTGCTGGAGTTGTCGTGGCTGATGGGAATCGAGGTGCTAGGTTAGGGGGTCTGGGGTGTGTGGGTCCTTCTGGTACCAAGCCTAAGGGTTGTGTTAAAATGTATATGATATTACATAACTGTAGCCTTGGTAGTTGTTACTAAGCATTACTGTATAGGGTACCACACCTACTGTTGTATCACTCACTCTTATGTTGTACTCCTTTTTTCTCTCGACATTGTCGCCTACCTCCTTATACCTTAACCTCACGCCGTTTTTCACTGCTTCTACTATTTGTACGTAGCATTTCGCCGGGCGACAGCTGTTCATCCTTCACCACTTTGTTGCATGCCAACACATCGATCTACCTCTCCATCCCGGGATGTATCGCATCCACTTCCGCAGAGACCCCATCCTCCACACTGTTTACGTGAACTGTCAAATGTAACTTAGACAGTTACTGTAGACTACAATACATTGAGCCTTAGAGGGTACAACACCCTCGTCTATATACCACTATATCCTTCTGTTATACTTCACCAAGTCATCATGATATGAACGTCGTATTCTACAACGGCACATAATCCGACCTGCTAGATCACTTCGAGCATAGCCTACGGCACCGCGTTGACATCACCACCTCCATGACAGGGACCCTGTTCCTCAGCCTCAACGTCGCCTACACGCCACATGGCATCTTTATGTACGAGTCAAAGTATGCCCAGACTATCGCGAAGCAATTAAACATAACGATGGGGCCGCTCTCCACACCCCGCCGCACTCCAGTAGGTGGCTACAGCCCCGACACCTAAACAATTCATGCTGCTGCCCATGCACCCTACTGGCAGCAGCGCAGATGTAAGCTGTTTATCGTGCGTCACGTTTCGACCAGATGTACAGCGAGGTTCCACTTCGACAAGAGCCTAGCGGACCCATCTTCTCGAACTGACAGGCACAGGAGCTGACCGCTCTAACCTCGGTTGAACCGTTTACATCGCAGCAACCTCCGCTGTTCACAAAGGTTCCCACCTATAGGATCCGCTGCAAGTTGCGAAGCTCAGCACATCGCCAACAAACCCAGTTTCATCATTCGCACTATGCACATCACCCTAAGAAACTGTTGCGTCAAAGTCAAAGTCCACGACGGGAGAGTGAACCTGACGTACTGTTACATTGGCGACATTGCAGCTCACTTCCTCACCAAACTGTTGGCACGTCCGAACCCGTAGGTCATAGGTAACGTACCCCTGTTAAGTGCATCTTCGACATACCCTTGGCATTCACTTTTTGTATGCATCATGTATTGTCGTTGCTACAATGAACACTGTTTGTTACATTGACTCCGACAGGGTTCACAAGACCAATTAACCACTGCCGCAGAGCGCACATCTCAAGGATGAACACGCGGAACATCCTACAAACCACATTGGATTGCTTCATGTTCTTGCACACCACTGACCCTAAACCACTCTTTCGCGAATTCCCTCAAATGAATAACCTCTCGTCTACCACTGCTTTGCAAAATTTGGGCTCTTCGGTAATGCATCTGTGTCATAATCATAAAGTCTCCACGCTTCGTCGATTTAGTACTGGTTAAGCAATTTCTCACATAGCGGGTGGTGTATACATTGATCTTACAGGGCGTGACCACGTCGGACACAATGTAATTTTGCACGCCATGCCATGTTCATTTCCCCCCACCAATCAGGCATGTTCGCCCGAATCGATGATGAAGCTTGTGCGCCATTCGATATGTAATCCGAGGGTGTCGCGTCGCTCACGCCAAACAAAGGGCACAAGAGGACTATAGGGGTTCTTTGAGGGTTCACACACATCACTGTAGCAGGTAACCCCTTCCCTCCCCTCACCCTGTCCGACCGTCCCAGAAAGGTAGCATTGGGTTATCCGCATTTCCAGTTTTCAATTTGACAGCATGTTTGCACATTTCTAGACTCTACGGTATAGGGCTTGTGATTGCGTTCATTTTCCCCTCCACCAGTAGCCATGACACGCGACGAAGTCAGACGCGGAGATAGGCGCCGTAAGGAGCGCGTAGATCTAAAGGACTACGACAGTGGCTCAGGCGAGGTGCCTGCCAGGGGTAAACGGAGGGGGAAAAAACGGAAGATTACTAGAGAGGAAACTGCAGAAGCGGTCCGTGAATACCGGAAAGCAAACAAGCTTTCGGTGAAGAAGGGCGACGGGCTGGAAAGTGACGCCAACTCTTCCGACCCGGATGGCGACGATGATGCCCTAGACGACCCTTACGGGGACGTCGCGCCGGGCGGGCTTCGTAGCCCAATGAAAAGGTCGGCTCAGCGGAAGAAACCGATAGGTGATCTTGTCGGCACCCCCGGTGAGCTACTTGTCTTCCATGCTCCACCCGCCAGGTGGCGGTTTTTTTGTGCCTTCGTATTTAACATTCCCTGACATTGCGCGTTGCCGGGCCGCCATGCAGGGAATGATGGACCGCCGCACGCCCCCAAGAAGCCCAAGGCAGAGACGAAAAAAGAACGGGCCGTAAGGTAAAAGGCCGAGAGAAACGCAGCGAAGGCCACTGCAGCAGCAGTAGAGGGGTCTGCAGCGGATGCAGAGGAGGATGCAGCGGTAGCAGAGGAGGATGCGGCGGTAGCAGACAAGGATGCGGCGGTAGCAGACAGGGATGCGGCGGTAGCAGAGGAGGATGCAGCGCTAGCAGAGGAGGATACAAAGGCAGCAAAAGTGGTCGCAGCCCCAGAGGCCGGCACCCCTCCGGCGAAGGCGGACGCGAGCGCCGCTCCCATTCCCGCAGCTGCCGCACCGACGCGGAACCGCGTCGTGATGAGCGCCGCAATGAACGCCGATTGTCCACCCACGACCGCAGCAGACGCGCCTCAGGCGGTTGAGGAAGTGGCGATGGTCGTCGTGGAGTCCCCTGCTAGCGCCATGCCGCCGTCGCACGATGATTCCCCTAACGGTGAAACTGTCGCAAACAATGTGGCGGAGTCGGATCGCGAGGCCCTCGCAGGCCGCTGCTGCGGCCCCCGTCTTGAAGACTCCCGCTCGTGTGGAAGGCCGCGCGACCGTGGCCGCGACGACCAGCCCAGAGAAACCGTCAAACAAGGACAAGGACGGCGAATGGGAGCGTCGCGATGGAGACACCCGTCGAGCGAAGAGCGACGCCATTGCCCCATCACCTGAACGCCGCGAAAGAGGCCGCGTCCGCGAGACGAAACGGAAAAAGCGCGAAGACTCTCCCGAGGAATCAGACTCGCCGTCCTCTTCCAGCGACTCTGACTCGGGGAGTCCTCGGCGTCAGAGTCCAACTACGACGGTCGGAGCACTGAAAGCAGCGAGCCTGAGTCCCTCGAGAGCGAGTCTGACGGCGACCGCAAGCGCGGCAAAAAGCGCGGCAGGGACAGGCGCGTCGGACGGCACAACGGTGGGAAGGATAAGGGGAGGGGGAGTAATGGCAAGAGGAAGAAAGGGGCGAGCAGAGGGAAGCAAGGACGTGGCGACATGAGGAAGCAAGGGAGAGGAGGGAGGACGGAGGGCCTAGGGCTAGGCCCGCCAAGCATGGGTATGCTCCGTACCCGGCTGGCAGCGACGATTTCGAGAGCGGCTCTGCGTCTGAAGGTCCGGTGCTCATTCGGCGGACAGATTACCGCGACAAAGTTTCCGGCGTATGCAACCGACAAGGCGTTTCAGGCGTTGACCATGTCCTGTCACACACCCATGGCCTGTCACACACCCATGTCCTGTCACACACCCATGGCCCGTCACACACCCATGGCCTGTCACACACCCATGTCCAGTCACACATCCATGCCTGTCACACACCCATGGCCTGTCACACACCCATGTCCTGTCACACACCCATGGCCTGTCACACGTCCATGGCCTGTCACACACCCATGGCCTGTCAGCCACCCATGGCCTGTAACACACCCATGGCCTGTCACACACCCATGGCCTGTCACACACCCATGTCCTGTCACACATCCATGCCCTGTCACACACACATGGCCTGTCACACACCCATGCCCCGTCACACACCCATGGCCTGTCACAAACCCATGGCCTTTCACACACCCATGGCCTGTCACACACCCATGTCTTATCACACACCCATGTCCTGTCACACACCCATGTCCTGTCACACACGCTTTGCCTGTCACCCACATTTGCCTGTCACACACCCATGTCCTATCAGATACCCATGGCCTGTCACACACCCATGGCCTGTCACACACCCATGGTGTCACACATCCATGGCCTCTCACACACACATGGCCTGTCACACACCCATGTCCTGTCACACACCCATGGCCTGTCACACACCCATGGCCTGTTACACACCCATATCCTATCACACACCCATGTCCTGTCACACATCCATGGCCTGTCACACACCCATGTCCTGTCACACACCCATGGCCTGTCACACACCCATGGCCTGTCACACACCCATGGCCTATCACACACCCATGGCCTGTCACACACCCATGTCCTATCACACACCCATGGCCTATCACACACCCATGGCCTATCACACACCCATGGCCTATCACACACCCCATGGCCTATCACACACCCATGGCCTATCACACACCCATGGCCTGTCACACACCCATGGCCTATCACACACCCATGGCCTGTCACACACCCATGTCTTATCACACACCCATGTCCTGTCACACACCCATGTCCTGTCACACACCCATGGTCTGTCACACACCCATGGCCTGTCACACACCCATGGCCTGTTACACACCCATGGCCTGTCACACACCCATGTCCTGTCACACACCCATGGCCTGTCACACACCCATGGCCTGTTACACACCCATATCCTATCACACACCCATGTCCTGTCACACATCCATGGCCTGTCACACACCCATGGCCTGTCACACACCCATGGCCTGTCACACACCCATGGCCTGTCACACACCATGGCATATCACACACCCATGGTTTGTCACACACCCATGTCCTATCACACACCCATGGCCTATCACACACCCATGGCCTATCACACACCCATGGCCTATCACACACCCATGGCCTATCACACACCCATGGCCTATCACACACCCATGGCCTGTCACACACCCATGGCCTATCACACACCCATGTCCTGTCACACACCCATGTCCTGTCACACACCCATTGTCTGTCACACACCCTTGGCGTGTCACACACCCTTGGCCTGTCACACACCCATGTCCTATCACACACCCATGGCCTGTCACACACCCATGGCATGTCACACACCCATGTCCTGTCACACACCCATGGTCTGTCACACACCCATGGTCACACACCCATGTCCTGTCACACACCCATGGCCTGTCACACACCCATGTCCTGTCACACACCCATGGCCTGTCACACACCCATGGCCTGTCACACACCCATGGCCTGTCACACACCCATGGCCTGTCACACACCCATGGCCTGTCACACACCCATGGCCTGTCACACACCCATGGCCGGTCACACACCCATGGCCTGTCACACACCCATGTCCTGTCACACACCCATGTCTTGTCACACACCCATGTCCTGTCCCACACCCATGTCCTGGTGGGCGCACACTACTAGCCTATAAAACACCCATCATGAAACTCTTCCATTATTCAACTTCGCTTTACCCTTCCCCTCTTCCTTCGCCTCTGTCCCGTCACGCCCTTTTGCTTCCCCTGTCGCCCCCTTTCACTCTCCCACCACCCATTTTCGATCTCTCGCGCCCATTTTCCAACCCCACCAATGCATTGCCTTGTACAGAAGCCATCTCCTAGGGAGCTCGCCCACTCCGTCCCTTCTCATGGCGAAATACGGAAAGATACACACAATGGATCATATGCTACATTGACATAGTAATTTCCTCTGTAGATTCGGCCCTTCTTTGGCACGTATGAGGACCGTCACAAAACAAATCGGGCCGGAAGTCACAAAATTGACACTTGGGTGACGCGTCAGTATATCCCCTAGAAAGACAAAAAATATCTTCAAGGGCAGTCCTCGGCATACTGGGAGTTTCATCGGGGAATGAACGCGGACACTCCTCGAGGATTGATTGGCGAATCCAAGCTGTACTGCTGACGATTCGTTTGTGATTACAGTACGCTGTACTCGTTATTGCGCAGTTTAAAGCCCACATTGTGATTGTATAACAATCTTGAATAATGTAAATTACATTTTGACTAAGTCGTATTAATAAACGGAACTTCCATACAATCACAAATATGTATAAGAACCTCTGCATAAGCACGTGTTTACATAAAACAATGTTGCGCCTAAACAAATGCACCTGCTTATTACACGCAATTGGCGCATAGGAAAAAACCGCATTATTCACAGCACATTAGTATCCTTCCTTTCGCCCGTTCTAATTAAACTGAATCGTCAGGCTAGATTTCAATACAGGTCAAACTGTTAGAATACAAGAATGACTAGAAACAAGGGTGAACAAGGGAGATATAGGGTTGGAGTTGTACCCTCTAAGAATACACCCCTATCTAGCCTATAACTTCTACATACAAATATATGTATAAGTTGACACACCTCCTAGGCTAGATAAGGGGTAGTGTTTGTTGTGATATAATGCATACTTAGCATTTCTGTAAGTCGATTATCGGTAGATAGTGTCGAATCCTACTGTAGAATATAAGTCTGTGGGATGACGTCAGCAAATAGCGCTCGTCATGAGGACAGTCGTTTCAGTCACGCGAATAGTCGCGTCTCTTCATTATCATTTAGGGCGCATAGCGCGATAGTGACGAACAGGTACATTAGCGAACAGGTACATTAGCGAACAGGTACTTTCCTAGAGCTATAAAATCCTTGTTATGCCTTTCTATTGTTCACCTTGAGATTTCAACTTTGAGACTTTAAACTTGACTTCAACTGAATTATATACTCAGGTTCATTCTTACAAAGACTTCCACTGTCTTACTTGTCTACCATTCCAGTAAAGATCCTAGGCTAACACTTGAGGTTTTCCAAGTGTTTGTGTTTGCAGATTCTACACTTAGTCTCGTGCAACACCTGTCAAATTATTACATGGTATGAGAGCTATCTGGATTTAAGACTACTGTCAACAATGACTGGGACATCACCAGCACCATCTACCGGATCCAGTTCTGGAACTACTGGAGTACCTGTCTCCACGACCGCCACTGGTCTCTCAGCCTCTGGACCGTTTCCACTGGCTTATGCGCACATCAGTATGCAGCAGCAGAATCCGCCTTCTGTCAGTACTCCAGGTGTTTCATCGACTGCACGTACAGCGCAACAACAACAAACACAGGCAACAGCACAACATCAGGCAACAGCACAGCAACAAGCAACACCACAGCAGTTTTCAACACAGTCAATATCGTCAGCGTTTAGTGGAATGAGCCTTGACGGCTCAAGTTACATGCGTGGAGCTTCAGCTCCAAGTACTGGCTCATTTGCCTTCTCGCCGTTTACGCAGCAGCCGCAGTCGCAGCAGCAGCAGCCCTTTTACATCTTCGGGCGATCACCTGCTCAGCAACAACAACAGCAACAGCAACATCAGCAACAACAGCAACAACTGCAGCATCCACAGCAATTCCAGCAACAGCAACAACCTCAACAACAGGGGATTATTTTTCAACCGCCAAATCTACTTACCAGCACGCAGATCAAGACTACTATACCTTTTAACGGAGTTGAATTTTACTCCTGGAGCTTCGAGTTTGAGCTTCTGGCGCAGTTCGCTGGGCTATGGCCGTTCTTCACCGGCGAGTTTACGTATCCTGTCATGGGAACACAACTGGAGCAACAGAGTTTCCTGCACGCCTCTCTCGGGGCGTATACGGTTCTAGTTCGGAACCTGTCGCCAAAGGAGCAGCTTGGCGTTCGATCTTTTCATTCAAGCTTCACGCCAGCTGAAACTGCATGGAACCACTTAAAGGGGGTGTACATGGCAAAAGACACAATAACAGCAAGTAAGATTCTTTCGCAGCTGACAAGTGTGCAGATGATGACAAACGAGAATGTCATGGATTACGTCAATCGTGTTCGCACACTACAAGATCAACTGGAGAAGAGTGGAGGATACTTCCCTCGTGAGATGTATCTCATGGTCCTTCTTGCTGGACTTGGTCCCGAGTGGCGACAGACGCGCGCCTTCTTGCGCATGAATCCGAACCTCTCAGAAACCGAAATTTCGTCGTATCTTCAAGCGGAACAGCAAGATCTTGACCTGCAGTCACAACGCAATCAGAAGAAAGGATTACAATTAAGTTTTTACTCAAATCCAGAGCCACAGCAACGACTTCCCCCGAAATATCCCTTCTGCCATTTCTGCAAGAAACCAGGACATACTTACCAAACTTGTCGCAGTCGTTGTCAAAACCGTCGCAGCACTTCGCAACCATATCATCGTTCGCAGCAGTTACCGAAGCCACATCAGCAAATGCAGCAGTCGACGTCCCAGACGCAGCAGATGCCGCAGAGTACACCGCCATCACAGCATCGTCCTCCGGTCTTTGCATCTGCAACATCAGGAAAAGGGGTTTTTGGATGTGTTACAACAGTTGATATTTCAGATACAGATTTCGAGACACAACTTGAAGAAACCACCAGTGCAGAGGGCATTCCCTTACCGCAAGTTTACGCTAACCTTGCTCGAGTCATTTCAGGACCCAATACTTGGTATCTCGACAGCTGTTGCGGTTGGCACATGTGCTCCGCTGAAACAAGCGTCATCACCAACCAGTGTCCTCTTCATCGTCCGATAACAGTCACAGTTGCAAACGGACAAACCATTATGGCAAGATCTATTGGGAGTGTAATACTTGAATCAGTCGACACGGGATATTCCTTACACGTTACCAATGTTCCTATCGTCGCCAGCCTTGGTTTCAATCTTCTCTCCACAGCTCAACTCCTGGCACACAAGATTCGCACACAAGGGAATTGTGATACAATGGATCAGGAGTTATGGCACAGTTTATCAAATACTTACCTCGGTCGCGCTGCTACTCAACATGGAGTATCAGTTCTTCAGTTCACAGCACAGGGCACCTCTGGTGATTCTGAACGCGTCCTTGGTCTCGGTCCCTGGGGTCACCCAGAAGAAACATATTATATACACGTGGATATTGTTTTTCGGGCAACTACTGTACCAACAGCTTCTAGAACTGTAGCTGCCGTTCTTACCGCACTGGATACTTGGGAGTTTAATACCGCCGATGAAGGCGCCAATGCTTGGCGAACCTTCTATAACACCCGTGCAGCCTTCCAAGGAACTCCAGCTCCACTTTGGGGAGAAATCAGTGGACTTGCAGCTGATGAACCCGAAGTCGTCGAGGAAGCCGTGAAAGAAGAAGTCGCCGAGCAGCCGAGTCTTCCAGTAGCTGTCGCAGGACCATCTGCCATCAAACTGTAACATCAAAAGAAGCAGTATCAGAAATTGCAGTCGCAAATACAGCAGACACTTCAAATGTTCAGTTACCCCTTACCCGTTTCGTCGAAGGGGAGATTGACATGTCTCCAGCTCTTTCTCCTTTCATCATTTCTTCATTTTATACTAACGCCGACTTTTATCTGCGATCATCAGGACACAAAGCCACATAAGAAATTTGGCACCAACGGTTAGGACATCCATCGCAAGGGATTTTAAATCATTGAATCCGAGCAGCAGTTCTTGATAAAAACAGTCTTCTCTTACCTGACGGCACGGAGATGAAACCGCAGTCTCGCCCAACGGTCTGCACCACGTGTCCGGTCACCAATCTTACCCACGACCCGTTTTCGAGTCATTTTCCTGGCTCCACTCGTTACAAACTGATGCAGAAGGTCTACAGCGATATTCTTAACTTACCTGAAGCAGGACCTAAAGAAGAGCTGTACGTGATTACCTTCATCGAAGCATCTACTCGATATGTTTGGACAGCAAACCTTCCTGCTCGACATCTCGCCCATTCAGTCTTCGTCGCATGGCTCGCCGTCGCTGAAAGAGAGTCTTGAGCAAAACTGCAAGAATTCCAGAGTGATGGCGCAGGGGAGTACACGAGCAACGCTTTCACAGACTACCTCCAGACACTCGGCATCAAACGGAAGCAGTCACTGCCACATGCACACCAACAGATGGGGGTAGCAGAAAGGATGAATCGGACTCTGCAGGAGAAGATGCGTGCTCTGCTGACGCAGGCAGCCCTTCCTCCTCGCTTTTGGCCGTATGCGATGGACCACGCGGTGCTGTTACACAACCTGCTGTCTTCCACATCACTGCCCGAGTTTTCTTCACCTCACCTGCAGTGGACACGAACAGTGGGAAGTACAAAACTTTTACGAGTTTTTGGGTGTGTCGTGCAGTTTCGTCCTCCAACTGCAGCACTCGGCAAATTTTCCGAACGGGCAAAATGGGGGGTACACCTCGGCATCGAAAAATAGTATCATGCATGGAAGATTTTGGATCTTCGTTCAAACCAAATTGTCCCTTCACGTGATCATCTCTTCTATGAAAGACTCACCTTGCCAGTTTTTCGTGCCCACCAGGCAGCAGCTGCAAACCCTGCCAGGCTGTTCGAAGGCTCGCGTGCATTTGCAACTGACGAAGCCGAAGCTGATGTACAGGACGAGGCGGTTTCTGAAGCTTCCGAAGCTACCGCAACTGACATTCCCGAACCTGTCACGTCAACAGGCATCCCGTAATTTATTCCCCTCGCTGATGTTGACCCGGATGACGTTCCCGAAGTCCACCTCAGCTACGAACGCGATCGCCAACAGCAGCCGATGCCACCCGTCTCCGACGAAGCAGTTCGTGTTACACCTAACGAAATTGGGGGGGGGAGAAGGGTCAGAAGAAAATTTCGCAGGTGCAAACGAAGAACGTCCGCGTTTTACAGAAACTGGCTTACAGATACTTGGATTCGCAGTCGCAGTACAGTACAACGACAGTAAAATATCTTAACCGAAAACCGTTCGACAAGCTCTTACGAGTCCTTACCGCGAAAAATGGCGCAAAGCCATGGACAGAGAGCTAGCAGCTCTCAAGACTCGCGGCACATGGGAGTTAGTACCGACATCAGAAGTAAAAGGGAGGAAGGTACTTGCCGGGAAGTGGGTCTTCCGTGTCAAGACTAATGCAGATGGGTCGTTTGAGAAATTCAAGGCGTGATGGGTCATCCGCGGGTTCGAGCAGACTTACGGCATCGACTACGAGTTAACTTTTGCTCCCGTCGGTCGACATACGAGCGTTCGGATTTTACTCTGTGTCGCCGCCTGCCGCAATCTACGACTTCGACAAATCGACGTGGCAAACGCATTTCTCTACGCACCCGTCGACACACTCATTCTGGTAGAGTACCCACATTCGTATACTACTAACCCACCGAGCGTATGCCGTCTCCGAAATTCGCTATACGGCATTAAACAGGCACCCCGGCTATGCGCAGTACCTACAGTACATTCACAGCTACTCACTGCTGGATTCCGTCAACTACCGCATGACCAGGGGATGTATCTTTTAACTGACAGGAGCAACTATATTTTACTTGTCGCCTACGTCGACGATATTCTCTACGTCAGTACTACCGACTCGCTCGCCAATACCTTCATACTGAAACTACAGAAAAATCTACAGCTTACCGTCTCCGAGACAGTCTCACAGTTTCTCGGTTTAAATATTACCTACTCACCGACGTCTATTCACCTCACCGCTTCGAAGTACGCAGCGACGCTCGCTGCCCGCTTCAACCTCACTCCTTCTACAGTCACTACACCGTACCGATCACTACCGACAGACTACAAACCGAATACTACACCGTTGAGTCTAACCGACCTACAGACCGATCAACAGCAGTTAGGCTGTCTACTCTTCACCGCTGTTACTTGTCGTCCAGATCTAGCGTACGCGGCTAGTCAACTCGCACAGTTCCTACGCCGTCCTGAAGAAGAACACCAACTCGATCTTCTTCGCGCGCTTCAGTATTTCGTCTCGACTCCTGACGTCGGCTTAGTCTACAACGTCGTCGGCTGTAAAACTCTATACCTACACCGTTTCGTCGGCGCCGACCACGCTGCTGATACTACTAATCGGCGCTCGCGTGCTGGATTCATCTACCGCCTTGAACCTATCGGCCCTATTTCTTGGAATTCGATGAAGCAGGAGCGGATTGCTCTCTCCTCTGCTGAAGCTGAATTTATCGCTGTCTGCACAGCAAAACGCGAAGGACTTTACCTGCAGGAGCTCTTGGAAGAAGCAAAGTTGACGACAAGTACTCATATCACTTTACAGTGTGACAACCAGAGTGCAATTCGCATCGCGCATCAACCTGGCTTCGTGAACAGGACGAAACATATTTCACTACGTTATTTTTTCGTCAAGGATGAAGTCGAGAAGGGGAGAATGCGATTGGTCTATTGTTCGACCAACGAAATGGCTGCCGACTTCCTCACGAAGAAGCTGACACGACAGAAGTTTCAGTACTGTAACAAGCTTTGCGGGATCTTCAAGAAGTGACACTGTCGAACTTCCAGAAATGAAGGGGAGTGTTGTGATATAATGCATACTTAGCATTTCTGTAAGTCGATTATCGGTAGATAGTGTCGAATCCTACAGTAGAATATAAGTCCGTAGGATGACGTCAGCAAATAGCACTCGTCATGAGGACAGTCGTTTCAGTCGCGCGAATAGTTGCGTCTCTTCATTATCATTTAGGGCAAATAGTGCGATAGTGACGAACAGGTACATTAGCGAACAAGTACTTTCCTAGAGCTATAAAATCTTGTTATGCCTTTCTATTGTTAACCTTGAGATTTCAACTTTGAGACTTTAAACTTGACTTCAACTGAATTATATACTCAGGTTCATTCTTACAAAGACTTCCGCTGCCTTACTAGTCTACCATTCCAGTAAAGATCCTAGGCTAACACTTGAGGTTTTCCAAGTGTCTGTGTTTGCAGATTCTACACTTACTGTAGTCCCCTGCAACACCTGTCAAATTATTACAGTGCTGAGCAAGAAACACGCAGCTTAGGGTGGCACTACTAGTCCAAACTCTGAGACAGGGGTCCGAAAACCAGTCAGCAAGAGTATAAACAAGACAGGAGCAAAACAGGGCGGCACTACTAGTCCGGCCACTGGAAGAGAAGCCACAAGGCCAGTCTGAAAGGTATATATAAAGAGGAGTACACAATCAAGGTCCTAGCAAGTGAGAATCTACAGGAACTAGACCAAGCTACAAACAGTGCCGCTGATGATCCTTAGGCGCAAGCGCTTTAGTAAAGATATCAGCTATGTTGGCACCAGAGGCCAAGTGTACTACGCAGGCCTGGCGACGCTGTTGTAGCTCGCGCAGGAGGAAGTACCGCAGCTGGATGTGCTTCGCTCTGCCCTCAAGTCGAGGCTCTTGACAAAGGAGGATCATGGTCCTGTTGTCAGCGTTCAGAACCGGGGCAGAGCTAGGCCGCTCACCTAAGTCGGTGAGCAAGAAGGCCAGCCAGCAGAGCTCCTGTGCCGCCATGGCACCGGCGTAGATCTCAGACTCACAGCTAGACTGGGCAACAGACGAGGAGCGAGTGGACCTCCATGAGATGGCACCTGAACCAACGCTAAAGCAGTAGCCCTGAGAGGACCTGAGGGTCTCAGCGTCGTCTGCCCAAGATGCGTCTGTGTGCCCAGTAAGGACCACTGGCCTACGTCCTCCCAGCACTAACCCCGTGCCCGTTGTACTTGCTAGATAACGCAAAACTCTCTTAGCGGGCGACCAGTGCTGTGGTCGGTGTCTGCCTGTGGCCACAAAGCGAGCCATGATGCTGAGAGGGTATGCGAGATCTGGACGAGTGCAAGTCATTAGGTACATGAGGCAACCCACCAGCTCTGCGTAAGGACCAATGGGCTTTATTGACTCCTCTGGAACTGGAGCAGAGAGCCTGTGGTCTACTGGCTGAGGTGTGGGCTGTGCGGAGGAGAGTTGAAGACCGAACCTCTGAAGGACTTGGCGCACCAAGTGTGACTGTGAGAGAGTGATGGTGCACGCTGCTCTGTCCCTGGAGATCTGCAGACCAAGGTAGCGGCGCAGCTCTCCTAGGTCAGCGCAGGTGTGTCTCCTCAGCAGCTCGGCCTTCACAGAGACTAGTGCGTCTCTGTCTGCAGTAGCGAAGACCAGGTCGTCTACGTAGACAAGGATGTAGAACGGAGTCTGGCCAGCACGAACGAAGAGCGAGGGGTCTGCAGAGGACGGAAAGAACTGCACGTCAGCTAGCGTAGCACGCAGCATGTCGTGCCACTCACAGGGCGCCTGACGTAGGCCGTAGACCGGGTGCCGGAGAAGCCACTGCGTCCTAGGAGGGATGGTACCGGTGAAGCCGTGTAGACGGCGCAGGTAGACCTGCTCGTGTAGACTGCCCTGGAGAAACGCTGTGGAGAAGTCGAGGGAGTGTAACTCGTAGTCATGCTGTGCGATTACGTGCAGCAGCGCCCGAAGAGTAGTCGTCTTCGGGGTCGGGGCGAAGGTCTGAAAGAAGTCCACCCCCTCACGCTGACTGAAGCCTCTAGCCACGTAGCGTGCCTTGAATACAGGCGGCTCTCCAGGGGGGCGCTTCACTTTGAAGAGCCACCGGCCATCGACCACGTTCACCCCAGGTGGGGGAACTGCGTCGACGTTGGTGCCGGTGGATCTCCAATATGACATCTCCTGCTCCATGGCAGCTATCCACTGAGAGGCCCACGGTCCCGAGGTGGCCTCAGCGTAAGTGCGAGGGGTCGGGATGTCAAAGGCGTCAGGGTCACCCTCATGGACTAGCAGCATGGAACAGAGATGGGGAGCAGCCTCAGACAGGAAAGCAAGCTCGTACTGCCTATCCTCTAGGACGTCACTGCCAAGGGCATGCGCACCCCCAAGGGATAGAGGGCAGACACGGTCAGAGACCAGAGCGGTGGCGTATTCAAGGTGGCGGATAGAGGCGAAGTCAGCGATAGCAGCGACAAGAGCGTCACGACTGGAGACAAGAACCGACGGGTCGGTAACGAGGAATGCA